CTGGTCACAGTGGTCACAATGGTCACACTGACTGATTGAGTGTTGATTTCTTCTTTCCAGGTTCCGTTTATATATGATTTCTCAGATATTCAGTTCGCACCGAAAATTGAAAGCAAATGCTATTTGATGTTGGTTTGGTGCTCTATGATGTACTGTTTATGAGCTTTGTTCAGATACATTCGATGTATTGATACTTTCTATGTGTTTTATGAGAGTATTTTATTCATTACATGTTCTTGCATGCTAGATCTGTTATGAAATCCATGTATCATTATGAATGATACTAAACTCCCTAGTCTTGTGTCGTTATGGGAATAACGACATAATAAGACTAGTATGATGTGTGATTGATGATCACATAGATGATCATAGGTATTGGATACGATCACAATCATAGGTATTCGTTGCAGAACGGAATACTGGACTGACCCGCATGAGATTGTCACATGGACTAGCGTCATGACTTGAATCTCATACGACGATTCTATGATTGGATCCTAAGACCTGAGATATCTACAGAATCCAACATGAGGAGTTGCGTGCTTTGATTACGTCAAACGTCCTGCGTAACAGGAGGACTATAAAGGCGTGTATCAGGTACGAAACGAATCATGTACTGGATTGTAGATAGTCAATACGGGATTTGTACCTCTCGTAAAAGAGAGAGATATCGCTGGGCCCCTCGTGTGAGCAAGACTGTAGAAATGTGTGGCCGCACTATAGACGAACGTCGTCTATTTCAGACAGTCGAACTCAGTGAACGAGAAAGCAGTCGAATCAGATAAGGTGGCTTGTCCATGCCTTATGTTCGACATATGATATCGCGATACAAAAGGATCATCAGTCGGAATCATCACTGGCTTTCGTATGATCACAAACAAACTCTATTCGAGATAGGTAGTCATAGTGTCTTGCTAGAGACCGTCTATGACTTGTATTACCGGAATGGAGATTCTGTGTTTTACTGCTATTCCGGATGAGCCTACAGGGTCACACACAATAGGGATGGACAAGTATGTGTGCTAAATTATCCCGATTAGGAATCCTAATTGGATTGAGATTCCTAATTGGAATAGGAATCCTAATGGGATTAGGAATCCTATTATGTATAGGAATCCTAATGAGATTAGAATTCTATTACATCTAGGAAACCTAATGAGATTAGAATTCTAATAGGTTTAGGAAACCTAATTAGATTAGGATTCCTAGTAATCTATTCCTTGTCAAATTAGGATTTTTGGAAAGTCTATATAAGGAGAATGTCTTCTAGGGTTTTAAAGAAGGAAAAAAAAAGAAAAGAAAAAAAAGAAGAAAAATAAAACCCTAAGCCTCCAAAAACCTTGCACACAAGAGAGATCGAGATCTCTAATCCTAGCAGACAAGTTCCAAGGTGTTGGAATCCATCCCGACGTGTGGATACATGTAGAGGGCAAGATATTCTTCCTGCCTAGAGTGATCGGACGAACAGATCAATTGATACAGGCCCCGGATCGATTGAGGTAAGCGTTCTAACGTTTCTATGATTCAATAGTAGCATGGTTCTAGGGTTTCATTAAAATTTTTGTTTTATATCCGCTGCGCAAACCCTAGAATCGATCTCTTAGGAATTAGATTCGCTCATGAGATCCTAGGAAACCCAACAAGGTCAAGGTATCCTTTTTCGCTCGGCATCTGACCTTCGATTGCGGGCTTGGTGTGATGCGGATTATGCCGGCTGCCCTCTCACTCGGAAGTCATTGAGTGGCTGGTTCATTCAGTTGGGATTGTCTCCGATTTCATGGAAGACCAAGAAGCAGACCATTCCTTCTCTCTCTTCTGCCGAATCAGAATACCGTGCCATGCGGGTTACTACATGCGAACTGGTTTGGATCAAGAGTTTGTTGTCTTCTCTCGGCGTTGATCACTCGGCGCCGATGCAGTTAATGTGTGATAGTCAGGCGGCGTTGCACATTGCGGCCAACGATGTCTACCACGAACGCACCAAGCACATCGAAGTCGACTGTCACTATCTTCGTCATCATCTCGATCACGGCAACATCTCCACATGCCATGTCTCGACCCGAGAGCAACTTGCCGATATTTTCACGAAAGCTCTCGGCAAGAAGGAATTCACTTGGTTTCTCGACAAGTTGGGCGTGTGCAATTTACACTTACCAACTTGAGGGGGGAGTGTTAGCGAAGGTTACGGGATTTAGTTCCCCTGATATTATCTTTCCATAGTCAGTTAGATCTTTTTGATATTGTTTCCTATTTTTCCTAGGTTTAGCAAATTGGTCCAAGTTGTATATATGCATACGTTCGGCAATGTTAATCGACAGCTTTGTTTTGGCCATCTCTCTCTCCGTTTGTTATTCTGCTCTGCCTTTTTCAGACAAGCAAGCGATGTGGCCATTTCAGGTTTGGCATGGATATCCCCACATAACAACGGGATCTGAACGGAGAAATCTCGAAGACGAGGAAAGAGAGAGATATGTCTGGCTATAAGTGTACCGAAGCCAGCTGAAGTTTTTGTCCGGCCGCCATTGCCGCTAGGCACTGCAGGAGCTGGATGGTACCAGTATCGTGAATAACTGATAAGGAAGAAGAAACCAAGACCCAGATGGTACGTGAGGATTATTCATATCTTATGAATAGTATACAAAGTGTTAAGAGTGTATATACTCAAGCGAGTTCCAATTTCCAATGTATTATATTATCCCAAACAACAGAAGAGACACATCCCTTTGATCTTGTTCATCATTTTACGCTGGCCAATTCCTATACCAACCAGCCCAAGCCGAGACCAAACCGCTTATACCGAGCATGGCAACAAACGGATTAGGTTCAATCTCGGCCAATGCGATGATCAGATCAGCGATTCTCGCAGATCTCCCTAACTTTCTCTTGTTCGGACAACGTCTTGTCCCAAGACAGGGGAGTCTCTGTCTGATGACGATGCAGTCGATGAAGATGAAGAAAGTGAAGTTTGTGGAGAGACAAGAGAAACATAAGGGTTTTATGTTTTTGGGGCCCAATTATAGAACAAAAGAAGGGTCCATTTAGGCCCAATATGGTTAATCGTTGACTGGATTCGATACGGTTGGGCATAGCGGTTCCTTTTGGACAACCCCCCACTCCGAAAAGGTTTTGATAACGGACAAAGTTTTTTGCTTCATTTGCACACACAAATGACGAAGACGAAGAAGAGAAACACGAGGAAGAGAACGACGAAGATACATATGATCTTGGAGAAGAGACTAGACGAAATCCAAGATCTACTCAACGGGGTCGTCTTAATCGATGAAGACCCAAGCATTCTCCGAGACTTGCAACTCCGGTTCATTTTCGCCAGGACCCTTTTAACGGCTGAGATCTCATCACGCCAGACGAGGGCCCACGAGGAAGGAGACGAAGAGACGACGAAGCTCGCATGCATGGCCAAGAGGTTAACCGAACTCGAAGAGGCTTTCATCAACCAAACCACAGATCCAGACACAGACACAGGTTCGCCGACCGAAACGGTGGAGAAGCCGGGTTTGATCGGCTCGTGGACTGAATTTTGTCTGAGCCAAGAGGAAGAAGATGCGGAGGAGGAGTTGCCGGAAGAATTTCAAGTTTACGGATCGCCGGAGGAGAGCGTGGTGAAGAAGGTCGGTTTTAGGGTTCTGGTTGGTTTTGGTATAATAGGTTTCGTTGTCGGGATGGCGAGTTTCTTTGGTTATTTTGATTATTGCATGAATGACAATTACACTCTTACTCCTACATAATCACAAGTCACAACTACTGTACATACTTTCCATTCCTTTTATTTTTGCATGTCGTTACAATTAGCTTATTAAATTCTTGCATGGGGGTTTCTTTAATCTAAAGCAGGGCTTTGGTCTGTATCATTTGCACTGCAATCAAAGCTTTCACTTCAAAAATGTTTTTGTCTCATGGGCCTTGAAAAATTTACCACTGAAAGATTCCCTCTGTCGCCGTAATAATTTACAACGACCGGGGTCCGTTTCGTCATTTCGTTGTCGATTGGAAATTCATGGGTATCTCTCTCCATGGCCACCGCCAACCATCTCAATCTAATCGGATTTTGTTGAGCGCCTCGAATATATGTCGAACGAAATCTCAAAATTACCCTAGCATCCACTTCTTTATTACCGTTCAGCCCCTTTTCCTACTCTCTAAAACTCGCAACTTTGTCATCCTCATCATCATCTTCATTAATAAAAGCTACGCCTTTTACAAATATGTAAACTCTGTTTTCAACACTCTTGTCAGCACCGCAAATCTTTTCCTTATCTTTGACCCATTGAGTTCATAATCTCGACTCGACGAAACCAGCGATTGCGGCTGGTTTTATTCCCTTTAGTTTATTTGGTTATCATCATCTCTTCTACACATATTGAAACCATCGACTCGTTTTCAACTTATCAAAATGTGATTTTTTTCCACAGAACGCTGCAAACCCTTTTTTGTCGTGTTTTTAGGTAACGTTTAAGATTACAAGTTCAAGATCACAAGAAACTTAGTATGGCCATACGAGTTCTGGATACGTTATTCGCATACACACTTAATTCTTTCACACATTGGACCAACCAATAAGCAAACAAAAGTCTATAAGAAGTCCGTAATGTTTTATTGGGATATATCTATAAAAACATCTTCACATAACGAGGAATTGTCTTGTCCGCGATTAGGTAGTGGTTGCGGTCATATAGCGTTTGCGATAAGCGGCTGCGGCTGTTGGAGACAACATTTGATCTACTCCTTCTTCCTTTAAATGTGATCCCAACATGGTCAAAGCCAACTATAACATGCCCAAAAACATAGGGAAGAGGCGAACCTTTAGTCCAAGATTAGTTTTCTTGCATTAAAAACTTTTGAATTAGTTTCTAACACGTAATAAATCAATTTCTCTATCACTACACAACCTTTAATAGATCGAACCCTAGATCTAATTATTTATTCAACACCAAATACAAATTAACTTTCCCAAATTTCTAGATATGATCTTGCCATCTCTTTTCAATAACAAGCTTAGTTAGACGTTTTATTATTGTTGTTTAACTAACGTATCGTTAAATGTAGAATTTGATTTTTATTAAGGAGAACCATAACAAATAAGAAAGTGTGTATGTACCCGAAGCAGTCTGAGGGTGTGCCAAACACCACGGGGAGTAGGAAAGGGAGAGACCAAAATAGCGATGGAAGCAAATGTGATGCCGAATAGATGGAGGACGAGAGAGGGTGGCCTCGGCTTCATACCACCGAGGATAGCCATCATTTCCTTGGCAGAAAATCCTCCCCGACTGAGGTAATTGAAGCTGCCTTGTCTCATTGCTTCTCTTGCTTCATCACTCGACGCAAGAAGCACTCGGTGAAACGCATCAGCAAGTGTGTTCACAGTCGCCGACATTGGCTTTACCATTTCAGGAATCCAAGTGAATCAACGTAGATTTTATTAAGGTTTTCCTATTAGGTATCAAATCTCAAGGGAACTCACCTTTCGGAGTTTAATGAAGGACTTATGAGCCTGAGAGAGCTTTCTCGTGTCACCAAGATTGTTTATAGGCTTGAGAAGATCACGAAGGATGACAATATCTGACAATGCAACCATCATACCTGAGGCAACTATAGGATGCCTCATGGTGAATGCATCTCCCAGCACGATCACTCCCTTCTTATCACATAGAGAATCTCGCATGCTCTTCGTTGCAACTGTCTTTATCTCAGGGTTCTCATCAAGTCCTTTCAAGAATATGTCTCGGAGATTAGGAGGTATCTTCTCACAAAAAAAAAGAGAGAAAGGTGATGAGAACATTGTACTTAACCAAATAAATATTCAAGATTTAAAATTGTCCATGTAGAGAGGGTCCTTGTATCCTCCATCCCATGCATTAACTGGAATGAAAACAGTACGTACCTGAGGAGCTATGACGTTCTTGAAGAAGGCAAGTGCTTTACCATTGGCAACAGAGGGAACGTTCTCAGGAAGAACTTCTGCTAAGCAACGAACCTCGTCACTGCCTATTTGACACAACATTGAAAATGACGGCTCCGACATGAACAGATGCAAGCTTTCTGGATCTTGGAGCCGGCAATTCTTCGTCACATAACCAATGATGTAAGAGTTCACGTCCACCTACATGAAAATATTCCCACTTTCTATGTTATAAAAATGTGACATTACATTTGCAGCAGAGGTATCGATCGTTCCAAAATCGAATGATCAAATTAAAAAAAAAATTTGATGTAATATGAACCTTGGAGTCATGGAGAGAGCGACGGATGTTAGAATAAGCGCCGTCACAAACGACGGTGAGAGGTGCAAAGGCCGTTGTTTCTTGACCGGTATTCTTGCTCTTGTACTTCACTCCTTTTATCACTCCCTTCTCTTCTACCAAAGATTTCACTGTCCCTTCTTCCAAATTCACACTGCCACAATTTTCAAAACGTACTTAAGATTTTACTTATGGTATTTGCAAAGTTCATCTAGAATTTATCTGTATTTCGGTAGTGATAGTGGTTTCTGGAATAACATCTGCCATTTATTTTAAAGGGATTATACTGATACGTACTTGGGATGAGAAGAAGCCTTGTGGCGAAGTCTTTGGACAAAACGACCGTTGTGAAAGGCCCGACCGCAAGCTTCGTAAGGAAACTCGAAATCCTCAGGAAATGGGCAGTGCCCACATTTTCCATCTTTGTATATTGCCAAAGCCCTCATCTTTTGCGAATCGATTTCCTCCAAACATTCTATCACCCGTTGCGATGGGGAAAAAAGAACGTTGAAAACCTGTATAATATGAAGAAGTATGTGTGTATATATGTACAACTTATATATATGTGTACCTTCGAGACCAAGCTCGGCCAACATGAGGCGACCTCCCGGTTGCATCACCTCACCCATCATTCTATCAGGTTCACTCAAATCCCTCTCTATTACGTGCACTCGCCTTCCATCCTGCTTTGCGTTTTCAATGTACACCAAAAGATGTTGAAAATGTTTCTTTCTTTTTCTTTTTTTTTAAAACCATATAATTCATATATATATATATATATATATATATATGTATATATATGAGATTAATTTACACCACATCAAATCCTCACATCCCCAATATAGTACCAAACAATAACATGGAAGTAACTGATAACAAAATACGTTGGAAGTTATAACAAATCAAAATAACGGAACCATGTCATAAGAAGTGTTTCATCGGCTAGAGAAGCACGTGGAAGACCTCACAAGCTGGATAGATGGCGGCATGTAGATCCCAGAATGTCTCTAAGAACAATGTTCAGTGGTTGAGATTTATTCTCATGCAATCTCAGAATCATTTCTCTCCAAATCAGGTTGGTTGATCCTTGTAGAAGTAGCAGAATAATGAGTTTAATACCTCTATTCGGTGAGCAAATAGCCGCCCATTCTAGAGTGGCAGCATATGAAACCTCCGGTGCTGGCAAGATAGGCGTCGCTTGCAGTAAAGTGGACCGGATTTGTTTGGAGTAGTCACATGCGAAGAACATATGATCAACGCTCTCGTTTCCATCATCGCAAAGTAAGCAGCCCAGTGTAGAGTTCGGAAACCATGAAACCAGTCGATCCCTGGTCGGCAGCCTATTACGAGTTGCTAACCAGCAGGTGAATGCGTGCTTAGATATGGCATGTGTAAACCAAACCAATGTAGCCCAAGAGGCTTGGGTTAAGGATGAATAAAATAGCCTCTAAGCTCGGGCAGTTGTGAAAGGCTGCAAATTCTCCTCTTTATGGCAAGAAGACCAGTAAATCTTCAGCCGAATCGGAAGGTAGAGATATAACCATCAGGTTTCGACGGATAGCCTCAATGGAAGCGCTCCTAGCACGGGGGATCTGCCATCCGTCAGCATTACAAGCCTCGACGACCATGGTGTAACGATCCGAGGCCGATACGGAATGATAGAGCTGTCCCCACACACCAACACGGGACCTTTTAGCGTGTTTTGTCCTCACTCGCATACTTCCCGGAAAGTATTTTCCAGGAGGTCACCCATCCTAAGACTACTCCAGAGCCAACATGCTTAACTTTGGAGTTCTCTCGAGATGGGCAATCGAAAAGATAGATGCATCTTGTTGCTATGAGTAGCTCAATCAATTCCTTTTAAGTTATCATTGACTGTGAAGTCCCATACCTACACAGCCCTCAGATTATAGGAATATATTATTCTTAGAATATTATCATTAATATTGTTATGATTTACCCTAGATATTATGCCTAGAATAATCTATTATATTTTGCTATATATTATGATGTATTCTTCCCATTATCAATAATAGAAAAACATTTTCCCTATTATGGTATCAAAGCTTCGGTTTTCGCTCTAATTTTTTTTTTCTTTTCATCAACAATGTCGATCGAATCCGAAAGCGACGATGAAGATGACAACGATGTACTAAATCCAATAGTATCATCGCCTTGAGTATCGTTTTAAATTTATTTTGCTCTTTTTTTTTCTTCTATTTTTTTTCCCCGACGGCGGTGTTCATCACCGTCAACCCTAGCCGATGTGCTATTTTTTTAACGAAGATGTTCGTTTATCGACGTCAACCCTAGCCGATGTGCTACTCTTTTTTTTTTCTCTGACGACGTTCATTTATCGATGTCAACCCTAACCGTTGTGAGCTCTTTAAACATGGCTATTAGCCTCTTTCGATTGGAAAACTCCGATCGTCGATCCACGTATTTGCGTCACTTATTTTTATTTTCTTCTCTTGTCCCGCTGCTAGACTATCACGCATTATGCGTCGCGCTTTTGCGCCCTTTTTTTTTTCCTTCTTTTCCTGCTTGACCTTGTGGTAGGCCTAGGATAACAAATTTAATCTCGTCTTCGGTGGAGATAGACTGCAGCTCATCCAATAATTCTCTCGGGTAGCCAATGGGAAATAACTCTTTTATTTCCTCGGTTGGCCAACAAGATAAGGAGTGTCTACCTCACCCAAAATAGAGCGGTAATAATCAATAGTCACCCTCTTTAGCTTAACTGGATCATAAATCTGATCTCCTGTATCAGACACAAGAAACCGAATTGCTCTAGAATAATACATCGATGCCATAACACGGTGGAAGTACTTGGTATTTTGATCCCCCTCAGATAACCATCTGATCCACGAACGTTGTTTCAAAAAGGTTTCCTCAGCAGTCGCAAGTGTGCTACATTCACCACACAACCTAGCCTCCTCCACCGCAACCTCGAGTGATGGATTCTGGAGGAGGAGGTTTGATTTTCCTTGAGAGCATTCAGAGCCTGAGCTGACTATCTTGGATCTTATTGTAGGCGTGCCGATTCGGCTGTCGTAGTGGACCTTTCAACCGCTTAAGCTTTAGAAGTCACTTATACAAGTCCTTGTCTCAACCGTGGCTTGCCAAGAATTCTGGATCATGTGGAAGAAAGATTCGTGCTTAGATAAGCGTAGTAGGAACTTAAAATTGGTTCTGCGACACCATGTCGTATTCTGATTAAAGTTTACCAAGCACGGAGAATGATCTGAAGGAACTGGAGCTTCAAAAAACTGCACAGGCATCCGAAAAAGATAAGAGGAAGGAATCATTAATCAAAGCCATGTCAAGCTTACGAGCAATCGGATTGTCCTCGTTGTAGTTCGACCGAGTGAAAAGAGAATCTATTGCTGCAAGATAAAAAAACTCCCACTGCCAACAAACAATTCTGGAACTCTGACATACCCGTATGAGGATGAAAGAGAGACGTTGGAGACGCATATTCCTGAGGGTGAAGTACCTGGTTGAAATTGCCTAATAATAACCATGGCCAAGAGAGTACCGAGGATGACCAACCACTCCTAAAATTTCACACCACAAGGATTTGCTTTCCGACGAGGTATTCAGAGCATAGATAAATGGAGTAAAATATGTCTAAGATGATAGATCCAAAACACCACGAGTAATAATTTGATCTGATATCGAAAGAATATTAACCACAAGTGAAGTATCCCATAAAATCCATATACTTCCCAACGCAGACGAATCATAGTTATGAGCAAACTTCCAGGATGGGGCTATAATCTGAGAGATATGTCGAGCAGTAGCTTCCTCATGAACTCTTGTCTCAATTAGGCCTCCAATACGTACTTGCCGAGATCTGATAAGTTCCTTCACAACCCTTTCTTTAGCTATTCCATTAATGCCTCTGACATTCCAACAAAAAACTTCCATGGGTAAGTGTTTCCAAAATAATTCAAAATCCCAAAATAACACTGGTGTTGTCTGGTTTAATGTTGTTTTCCTTTTCCATTTCGAGTTCTCCCGACTTCTGTAAAATCTTCAAGAACCCGAGAAGAGGAACAACTCCTTAATACACGTTGGGCTTCCATGATAAGTTGATCCTCATTGTCAAAAGATAGCTTGGAATCCTTACAAAGGGTAGCATGATTCACATGATGTTCAATTTGCCACTACAAAAAAATCCTCGAATTCCAACGGATTTTCCAACGGATTTGTCCGTTGGAAAATTTCCAACGGATTTTCAACGGTTTTCAACGGCGTTTCAACGACGATTTCCGTTAAAATTCCGTTGAAAATTTCCAACGGGTATCCGTTGGAAACACCCGTTGGAAATTTTTAACGGAATTTTCAACGTATTCAATTGAAAAATTGGGTTGGAAATTTCCAACAGTATTTCCAACGGATTAACGTTGAAAAAATCGGTTGCAAATTTTTAACGGAGTTCCAACGGATGTTTGTTAGAAAACAATTCCAACGGAATTCCAACGGATGCCGGTTGTAAATTTTTTTGAAAATTTTTTAAAAAAATTCCAACGGATGCCGGTTTGAATTTTTTTTGGAAATTTTTTTAAAAAAAATTCCAACCGAATTCCAACGGACATCGGTTGAAAATTTG